TCAAGGAAGCCATTGTAGTGTCAAGGAAGCCATTGTAATGTCAGGGAAGCCATTGTAGTATCAGGGAATTGAGGGAAGTCATTGTAGTTTCAAGGAAGCCATTGTAGTGTCAGGGAAGACATTGTCATTTCAGGAATGCCATTGTTGTCTCAAGGAAAGGAGTTGATTGTAGTGTCAGTGAATTGGGGGAAGCCATTATATTGTCAGGGAAGTCATTTCGGTGTCATTTATCTGTATTTACTTGCATTAATGTTTACTGTTTGATAGTCATGGYAAGCATGAGGAAATCACAAGAGAGTACTATGAAGCTAAAACCAAGTTTGACGATACAAAGACATGTATGAGAAACATGTTCAAATACAAAAGAGTGAGTTCTTGATAAAGTGCTTAGATATATAATGCAGGCGTGTTTCACACCTCTCTAACTGGAACTACTTGGTAGATTTGATAAGTAACCAATCATTCTGCAGCAAGATCATAATAAGCATGAGAACACTATCATTTGATTGGTTTAATTTAATAATCTCAGTYTGCTTTAAGATTGACAGGTTTAATCAAAGTGGTTCAAGTYAGAGTGTCTTCACCATAAATCCCATGCAAATTATCTGCAAATAACCTTTTTAATGATACCGATATTTTTCCATGTTCAATGTTTATTTTACAGATCAGAAAAGATCTCYTAGCAACATACAATGTCCATTTTGTTGTCCCTATCAATAATCTGAAAATAATTCTTATCATTTTTTTCCAATCTATTGCAGCAATTGAAAGARGTCTTGAACAAAAGGATAGCAGCATTTGTTGATTATCGAAGGTTCATTCGTTTAAGAGCCAAGTCTTATTTTCTTCATATGTTGTCACAAAGGGGATACACTGGTCAACTGAAGTTTGATCATAAAACTGAAAGACTAGAAATTAAGGTAATGATCATTGTTTCACAAAAACCTCATGCTTTCTTTGTTTGTTTTTTTATTTTATTTTCAAATTGTCACCAACTTTGTAAATAATGTTTGCCTTGCATGGTTAAATTTTAATTTCCTATAATTGTGCCCCCTCCCTCCCCCTTTTTTCATCCTCCCTCCCCCTCTCTCACTTGCCTATCCCTCCCTCTTTTCATCCTCCCTTATTTCCTTTCTTCTTCTACATCATTCCCTGCATTTATTATTTCATGGATAAGTTACCAAACTGGTAATTAATCAAGTTATACAACATACTACTGTACATTTAATACTTATTTATACCCAGGTCAATGTAGAGCAAGGACAGAAGAAGGCTAGTAAAGACACTAAGACATTGTCTGGTGGTGAGAGATCATTCTCTACTATCTGTTTCATCATGTCATTATGGGAAGCAATGGAGACTCCTTTTAGATGTCTGGATGAATTTGATGTCTTCATGGTAAACTAAATAATCTGTTTGCACTTGATAAATTAGGAGTTCAGGGGGGGTGTAGATATGAAATGATTGATGGATTGGTTAATTGTTTTAGGATATGGTCAATCGTCGTGTCAGCATGGATATGATGCTCTCATTCGCTAAAATGCAAYCAGAAAGACAATTTATTTTGTTGACTCCACAGAACCTCAGGTATATGTTAGCAATAATAGGCCTTTTGGTTCTAAATCAACCATACTGGATGACAAAATACCCACTGGTATGTTCAAGACAAGGAAATGTCAAGTTTGAAAGTCTACGTTCCTTTGTTTTTGAGGTCGTTGACATTATTTTGCCATCCAGTATGGCGGATTTAGTGCCGTTTCATGCAAAAGGTCTATTACTTATCTAAACCTTTTTTGTACTTACTAAACCTTGTTTATATTTCCTGACTTCCTTGTGCAGTATTTTGTGTGTAATTTTATTGTTTGGTGACACTTGGTTATTCAAACAACAGGAAAWATATTTTGAATATTGTTTTRATGAATATCAAAGTAATAGATATTTAAACTAGGGCTTTGTCGCAACTCTGTGTTTAATTCACTCAATGATAACCATTGTTATCATATTTATCGTCACATTAAAGATAGTTATCATTACTATTATATTTCAGCAATGTAGCATTTGGACCTGACACCAGGATATTCAGACTAGGGGATCCAGAACGAGGACAGTTGACTTTAAACTTTGAACAAACAGAAGACTAAAAATCACACATAAAACAAATGAACCAGCTGAGTGAGTTAAATACACCGTATAGAATTGAAAACAACCTACTCCTTGAAATCCTTGAAAAACTCTTCAAACAGGAAAGCAATAAAACTCTTGGAAAACTCATTGAATTTGATGCAATCTGCGATATAAAGATCCCAAAACAGCGAAAAACAGGCTGCACGGGAAACTGAATATTTTTAAACGAAAATGCTGCTTGTAAAATAGATATTTTAGGTCAGTTTATAATTTTTAACATAATTGTTATTGGAGTTTATATGTTCATGTTCCATATATTCCTAAAAATGGGTCAGTGCTAGAAAAGTTTATACAAGAAAAAATTAATTTTATAATAACAAATTAGTTGATATTTACGTGTAAATTACAAAAAGTACTAAAGAATGCAAATTAAATTTAATGAAGTAATCTTTAGTAGTTGACATTTTTATAGCAGTTTTTCCCGTTCAAGCATGTCTTCACAGGAAAAATCTGTTTCACTGTTMAATCAGTAATGATTGCAGTTTTTATAAAGGTAACATTGGCCTTTCCTCAACATTGGACTTCTACATACCCTCTAGATGACTGGAAAAAATCGCGCACTTTAAAAGGTTGTAAATTTGATGTAAATATGGTGTAAGTGTCCAAGATRATGTAAATTTGATTTTCAGTAATGATTGCATGAATTATTGGCCTTTCYTCCAAGCTACACSTCTCTCGGGACTTCTGCAYACCCTCTARATAGTGACACAATCTRTRTGGTTCCKGTGTCAACACACCGTGACATCATCGATCCCATGCTGACATCGTGAAWRCCGACCAACATGTCAGTTTCATGGCCGTACAGTYATGTTGTATCCGTTCTTCTTTTCTTTTCTTTTTTRTCCAYAATTCATTCATTTAAATATTGTAAGAAAGTTGACAGCGCCAAGTTTGATACTGACCAAGGAGAAGTTAATCTTTGGCCTCTTGCACTTAATAATGGTCAACCGAAGTAAGTATGACAACTATGGAAAGATAAGAGGTTTTCCTCTGTCAATATCAGTACCATAAGACTAAAATACTGATGGATTGAGATGCTGATGAATTGAGATTGTAAGGCTGTTCATCTGCAACGAAGAATGTTTCTCTTATGCAATGTYATCCTGGTGTTATGTATTACATATTAACCCTATTATCACCGTTTATTCGTTTTGTGTCACGGCTTACATGATTATGAGACCATGATGTCGYAATCAGTGTTACAGTCTGTAATAGTTATAMAGCAAAAAGCCCAGTAAAACATGATAGTGATGCCTGTAAAAAAAATATGAGATTGTATCTTTTCTAGGTTTAAAGATATTCCAGACACAAAGCTTACAAGTCAGTTTTACAGCTTTAATCCTGGAAACTCGTGGTCTGATACTAGACGGGACAAAGGCGACTTGAATACATGTGAAAATATAGCTGTGAGTATCATCTAAAAATGGGGGCGCTTTATGGGCCCGGGGGGTACTACCTCCCCAACTTGGGTGAGGGTGTGCCGCACGACTCCCAAAACCCTTACCAACCCCCCGCCCCGGGTTTATGGGACTACAAAACTGAACAAAATTAGCAGAAGCTGTTAAAATTGACAAAAAAACCGCCTATTCTGCACTGAGGGATTACAACTCCCATTATACTTTGACAAATTGACAACGCTGCACATTGCCGTTTTTGTTCAACAGCTGTTTTCAATTCAACGTTTGAAATTCAAAGTATTAAAAAGAGAATTCAAACAGACTCGATGGGATCGGAGAAATTGTGAAAGAAAGTAATAAGTAAGAAAAGTTTATTATTTATGACAGGTTTGTATGAGATATGGAAGCCCTACTCAACCAAGCTCTAATGTTTATGCCAACATTGGTACACAGGCCAGCGTGGAGTACGTTCACGATGCTTCATCYGGTTCATGTGTGATGACTTTTAAAGGACAATACTTAACCACGTAAGACGTAATGATGGTGATGACCGATGATGGTGATGACCGATGATGGTGATGACCGATGATGGTGATGACCGATGATGGTGATGACCGATGATGGTGATGACCGATGATGATGATGATTATGACAATATCGTTTAATCATGATGAGGACGATTAGTGAAACTTTCAGAATCATATCCCTAAGGTTTCTTCCTTACTTGTCCTCAATTGGACCGACAATATCATTCTACCTTTCTTGCATGGTTTAAAATAAATCATGATTTACAAACAAAAACGTTTGATTTTTACAGCTCAACTAAATCATTAATTACTGTGTCATGTGACCAAGATACAGAAGGGAAACTCGACGATTTCGTATCAGATGAAAAATCTGAATCTTGGACTTATGTAAGTCAACATTGAGATGARCCATGAAACGAGTAATGAAACGCACACTTCATAGTGACCATACTGAAACTATGCACTATAATGTGCCCCCTGGACCCTTGCTGATTATTATGAATTTAYCCGAAAAACAGCCCTTTAGCAGTCAATCTTGGTTAATCTRATCTAAAGATATGGCGAATAATAGCTAAAATASCGCTGTCTTTTCACAGACGTCTACACTTCATACAAAGTATGCCTGTACATCAAGYGGTCTAAGCATCGGCACCATACTCTGTATCACGTGAGTAGCAGATTTAATGTAATATTAGTATTATAGTACGTTTTATGTTATAACTATTATATAGCAAGGTGGTRTAAGAATTCTTTAAGTTATTTCAGTCGGATGATCAAAACGAATAAAATAGTTGTTTCAAATAATGCAAAATGGCGACCATAAATGATGATGCTTCGCAAAGCATGGCGGTCCAAGTAGCATGTTGTTCTTATTGTTTTTTTTTGTTTTGTTTTTTTTGTTTTTGTAGATTTGCATCCATTCTTATTGTATACCTAATAGTAGGCATGTTGGTGATGAAGTTTGCTAAGGGAGCCAGCGGTAAAGACGTCTTACCTAACGTGGGTTTTTGGTCGGATTTTCCATTTCTTGTTAAGGTACATTATAATAACATTAACTAGTGACAAGCTTGTTACAATGGAGTCTGTAATTTTATTTCGTCATTATTTCCATAACTATAGTGGTGTATTTAGTTATAAGATATTAAGTATGAACAATCGAAGGTTATAGTAATGTTATTGTGTTTGTTTAGTTAATTATTAATATCTTTGTGTTTATTTTAGTTTTTTTTTGTTCGTAATTGTTTTTCTGTATTTATSTTAGGATGGTATCGTTTTTTGTTTTAACACATGCAAGAATAAGGTATCTGGAGGAAAGGACTATGCTTCCATATAATACTTTTAATCTGCTGTGTATTACCGTGTTTCGTCACACCTTGAAAGTAAATGTTCAATSTGCATTTCAAACTGGCTTGTTTAGTTTCTATGGTAACCAAATATCAATCTAGAAAAGTAAATACATCTATAGTGTGGTTTGTGAAGTTTTATCAACGATCAGCACTGGACCAAGAACTTTATTTATGATCAGATAATACCTCAAGAACTGTAGATTTTAGGATTAAAATAATGGCAGCCTAAGTAATCTTCCTGTGTTTTGCTAAGTACATATTCGTCAAATGTTTTCATAAAGGTTGTGTAGATGCTGGGTGGATATCTGGTGGAGCCAGAGGGTAAAACCGTTTAATTCAGTAATCCACGTTTGTACATYGGTAGTATTTAAGATGTGTGATATCTTTAAATTCACGCCAACATCGCCATCTGTTTCCACACAACTTGACAAAATGATGGACAGTTTCATTTTGTGTTGACTTTGAAAATGTCACTTACGTAAAAGTTGTATTTGGACGCCTAGTATTAACATGGTCTGAACTCCCTCTACTTTACTAACCAAAAAACTTGATATAAGGCGTTGGTTACATAACGTGTATAATGGTCAAATTTAAGAGGTAAAAACTTCCAAAAGATAACTTTTATCGATTTCTTTTTTAACATTATTGACACAAAAAGAAAATTTCCGTTTGGAGCAATTTTGTTCCCCTGAGGCGGCAAAAGGAAGTTCAAATCAGTGAGCAAAAACGTTTTTGATCGATTTACTGTGTGGTTTAAAAGCAACGGAGAAGATTTGTATCAGCCCGTGGTCTGATTTCCCGGAAAGAAATAAGGTAAGAATCCGAATTAMAGAAATAGAATTCATTTATTCTCTCTTTTGCTATTCATTTGTCCTTTTAAAAAGGTGAAACTATTATTTAGTACCTGGTCAAAAACAGCTGAACAGAGAATTACTCGTTATTATCTTCACAGTACCAACCCATTAMAAAATAAAAAAGTAATAGTCTTCCGGCAATAGAAAAATAAACAAAAAAGACGATTTGACCAGTGTTGCTCTTGATAAACAAAGAGCGATCATCCTATTACTAGTAACAGAGAATAACATAGAAATGCAATGAAAAATGCTAGTCAAAAGTTTTCTAATTTGATGGTTTTTAGACGTTAACTAACTCAATGCAACCAGTGAACTTGGATTACCATTAGTGAGTTATGTATACATACTCAGATACTGCAAAATTGTGATATTTTGTATGCTACTGGCGTAAACCAAATAAGATTTTCTTTTTTTCTTTGAATATATTAGTCGGTGTTTTTGTGGACCAGCTGCCAAAGTAGGAGAGACGAAGCTCACATGTCCACTTCCAGTCTTGGCAAACCAAACGCTTCCATGAATATYAACGAGTCGACGAGTCTTACTACTTGCAGCCAGCCCACTACTGTTGAAAATATCGCCAATGGRTTGTTTCTTATCTTCATAGCACTGGTTACAGTAGCGGGAAACTCTTCGATTTGTTTTGCTATATTATGGAAYAACTCTCTACATAGATTTACTAACTATATCGTCGTATCGTTTGCTATTTCGGATTTAATGGTGGGGATTTTTTCGCTGCCTTTTCGCATCCATCAAACTTTACACAACACGGCGTGGTGTTTAGGCGAAAACGCATGTATCTTTTGGGTCTGGGTCGACCTGTTTTGTCGAACTGCCGCTTTTGCAAACCTTGCTCTCATAGCATTGGATCGGTTTATAGCTACGAAATATCCMCACACATACCATCGTAAAATCACTACTTGGTCTGGGTGTTGCTGCCTGGTCATTGTCTGGYTGGATGCTCTTATCGTCTCTACGTCAAGTCTAACTAACTGGACTTTACCTGATGCATTGGTCTTTGGTCATAATAATCTTGGCTGTTCCAAGACACCAGACGCGTATTTCTACACGTTCTCTGCAGTGGTAGGGTTCTTTCTACCTTTGTGTATTATTGGATTATCGTATTCATATGTACTAAAGGTAGCAGTATCAAACTGGAAAGCAAAATCTAAGGCTGCAGTCAACCCCATACCACCCCCCATCGTAGATGGAAACAGAACTAGTGATAGGATAGCTTTAGTACGTGAGATCAAAGCAGCACAGACTCTTGCAATAGTCATTGGATCGTTTTTGGTATGTTGGTTGCCAGTCTTTGTMATTGTTCTTGTGTTATATTGGTGTTCGACGTGTTTCAAGGGGGTTAACAAACCCGTTAAYATWATCTTTGTTTATATTCTTCCTAACATCACTAGTGCCTTAAATCCCATTATTTTCTTCATCTTCAGCCGTAAACTCAGAGAAGCTTTTTTAAAGTTTTGTAATTCGATAACAAAAGTAGTGAGTCGCTATTAACAAACAATTAAAGCAGTTGTATAAACCAAAATGCAATAAAAGGTCCAACAATCAACAGTAATGTTTCTGTGTTTCAAAAAGACCTCATTCTATTGATTTGAATGGATGGATGAGTGGGTGTGGATAAAGTGGATGAAGAGATGAGAAGGTTTGGTTAATGGATGGAAGGGACAATTGGGTAGACAGGTATACACAGACGTATCTATTGCTGTTGTATTTTGATGGTAGTTGGAAGATCATGCCGTTATCTTTCAGCAATCAGGGAGTGAGGAACAAAGGTCTATTGTCGATAATATTAGATGTAATGGAAAATCACTGCTTAGKATTGGGGTTTTAATGATAAATAATAGTATACAGTAAGGCATTSCGGCATATGACACCGTACTGTAGCCAAGGCTGGCTGTGGTGTTCCAACAAAACAATTGCTCATTTCTAGTTGTCTGCGTCATGGCGTCTGCTCTACTGATATCTCTGCCGACGCATTGTGTCAACAATTAGTCAAATAACAGTTTGTTTTTCTGGTGGTTGTAATGAAATTGCTGTTTGTCATACAACATTGGTATTTGTTTTTTCATTGTTCACTCAGTTTAATTTCATACTAAACTAAGAGAATTTTTTCTCAATTTTAGGRATAATGAATGATTCAGTTGATATCTCAGAATATGCAAGAATTAGTTTTAATAAAAAGAGCAATAAATCATGTCAGACATGTCAACCAAAAGATATTAAACTGTAAATCTATTTTWCTATCGAAGCGTTGGTCTAATTAAACTGATTTGATGGATGAGAAGACGAGTGGTGAACTATTTTGTTGCTTTCAATTTTTGCCTTTTTGTGAAGTATGACAAMGTTGTCAACACGCTTAAATGTATTTGACAGTRACGAGGTTATTAAAAAATGTCCCTCTCGCTCTGGATAGGTCTKCTCCTTACAAGRACGGATCCAGGATCCATTTGGTATTCATTTCTGAGTAAGCCACCTCCTTTGTAGCGTCCTGGATCCATTGCCCTATAGCTSTTGTTTTGTAGTCCCACTGGCAATCATGTGCTTCGAGATTCAAGGCAGGCGTGGTCAAGATCTTCATAGGTACTTGCAAACCAGGCGTTACGACTAGCAATGATCTTTTCATTAGTAGCGAGACAATAAAAAACTATTTGCAAGACTTTTGTTGACGACAATACTGTCTGGAAAATAAAAATAGAATGGATAAGTTTCGGAATTTATACAACGATGAACGGTAACYAGTGATAGTGAACCMCRCTGTCCCTTAATTGTATACTTGAAAAATATGGAAATGCTTATATTTTTTAATAACCTTTCCCTTTCCCCGGTAGATTTCTCGATAAACTGTAGGTTATAATTTTCTGTACTAAACAAGAGGATGGTATAATACCTCCATCAACAGTCGTACGCTTWGAGCTAAATGACTTGCCAATCGTCCCCTTCTCGCGATTTGACTCAAATGTCTCGTGGAAATSTTCATCTCCTTCTTGAATCTTTTTGTTGCCCTCTGCGATGTGTTTAAGATAGTTCTCATGGTTCTCTTCAATAGTTTCTTGTTGCTGTTCGTGTTGTTCTCGTTCATGTTCTAGTTGATACTGCCATCTTTCTTGTACGTGTTCTCGCAGTTGTCGCGAGTATTCATATTGATTCCAAGCCGTGGATTTATATAATATTACCAGTAGAACGATAGCAACGAGCATCACTTGACCTTCTTTCATGATTCTTATACCACCTTCAACAGCCTGACCTACATGTATGGGTTTATGGAACCTTTATAAAGCTTTTTAAAAAAGGCTATTCCTGTAAACATCGAAACTAGTTGAGATTTTGTAGAAATCTTATTATTCTCATGCGAATTAGATGGAACAAGATGTAGAAAGCACTAAAAGATTTCACTCGCCTAATAGTTTTCATATAGCGTGAGTTGCTACTGTTGCGGGTTGTCGTAGTGTGAAGATAACCTATTACCTGTTTGCCCGCGCCCTAATAGCCWGCSATCTTCTCTCAGTCAAGATAAYCATTGTATAGACTGTGTTAAGCAATGACAAGGCAATTTATTATTCCGGGCCAAGCTATTGGAAGATCTATTAACATGATCCAGGCTTAAGTCCATATTRCTTAAACCTACTAGGATTAGCATTGATAGASCTTTAAACAACTCGAAATAGAGTCACTAATGGCCTTCAAATAAGTTGTTCAACATAACGGGCTAAAACTTTTAATGTACAACCTAGCAAACATACATTATATAAAGCTAACAAATTTCTATATTAAATCATTGGAAAACTCGTAATCCCATAATGTTCTTTGTAATCGGGATTGACGTTCCTTATGGACAAAGGAACATCATTAAACGATGGCATCATAAGGCGACGATTGTGTTTTTGTAATGATTGTAAAACTGTTCGTCTCTTGTACTCCTTCCATTTCACCTCTTCTTGAAAGCTGCGAAAGACATCGATAGGTGATGGGAATGCTTCCTCAACGCGATCACGCATGAACGATAGTAACAAGCCATGCTTCCTGTGAAGAAGAGTTTTACGCGGCACTTGAACAATTTCAACCTGAAATGTAAAAAAACAGTAATGACGTAAATGTTGTTAATTTACTCTCTTGGCTTATCAGTGAAGACATTTAGGCAGATCCTAGTTCCTCTTCTTGCTACAGCAATAGTACAATCAGAATTATTAAGATTGAAATAATTATCAATTTGCAGATTCCAAATGATAACGGTCATGTAATAACGGTGAACATATATTTTTTGTTGTACTTTTTCTTTATCACATGCGTTTTGCTGTTGACGTGTTAAATAGACTTTTTCTGGACAAGTGTGATAATTTGATATATTTTTTCTCCTATTACCTGGCCTACTGTGATTATGCTGGTACCGCGATGATCTTCACCAACACCAAAACACTCTCCTTCCTTCAGACAATATACAATTAAAAAGAACTTCTTCATTTTATCAAACTTTGTCATCTGGTACTTCTTATGGGATTCCTGTGGCGGAAGAATCAGTTGAGTCTCCTTGAATGGAAGTGATCTGGTGACGAGATCCATCTCCTTGACCACGTTGCACTTTCCTGATTTGATGAAACAGACGTATTCGTCGCTGTCTTCAGAGTTTCCTCTCAGAAGAATCTGTACAAAATGCAGAGTACTATGGGTGATTCATTTTGAATGAGTGAAAAACATACTGAGAGAACTGACAAAATTAGATCCACGAAAAATGAGCAAACAGGTATCAAACAAATGAAAAAATTGTGAAACGACAAAATGAGAGAATGAACTAATAAAGAAACAAATGACGAATCTAAGACAACTGAAACGTTTAAAGAAGGAACTAACAAATTAACAAATCGATTAGTAAAAACAAACTCGATCGCAGAAGAAAGATGGATGGGAAAGTGAAAAAGAAAAGATTGAACTGAGAAAAAATGAATTGTTAGATGAGTATATAATCTCTTCATGATTTATTATTACTTAATTTCCTGCCCTTTTGATATTATGAACCTTTGCTAATTTTTTACCACGATWGCGTCAAGAAAAAATGGTTTTGTTAATCGTATTTTCCATTTTTTATTTTTTTTTAACCCTTCAATAATTAATCGTGATTTTGAAATGCGAACCCGATATCGCTAATGTAGTGATGCTGTGTGATAAGACGGCCGGCGGGAATGATAACCGAGTGTTTTTGCTCTGATCACATTGCCTGTATCAGACATTGTGAATGGTAAACGGTATTGAGATGAGAAAGGTCTTCATCGAAGAAGTATTYATTAGTCAATGTCCAGGAGATCCTTTTATAACAACAAATTAAGCGCTTTGGGCTTTTTTTGGATTAATTTGAGCCGTCACCTCCAAGTAGAGAAAGGCACTAAAACCAGACTACTCATGATTGATGTTCAAAGTAACGACAGCTTCTACCTCAAGCATAGAATCACTAAAAAAAACCTTTGGTTTTCGGCATACCACGCCTTGCAGCATGTTTACACACATATGTACGAACCACAAAGTTGTTTGGGAACGATTTGGAAAATCATTATCGGTCAGATTAAATTGGACTCCATAAGATCTCCAAAACTATCCTGAAAGTGTTGATATTTTGATAACTTCTGAAAAATAAAACAGAACCGAGGTGTAATTGTGACATGCAAATTATAGTCATCTTTTTCGGATCTTTTTTTGATCGTTATCCACGTATTATTGTTACTATTTTCCTTGAATCTTACATTTGTCTTTATTAAACTATTATTCATTAGTATATGCTTAAATCTATTGATTTTTAAGTCAATAGCTATGTATTTTAGTGTTCAGTAATTACAACATGAAAATCGATGACATCAGTCTCTAGTTTTCATTCTGAAGATGCCATTTGTCAAAAACTTTCAATGAATTACACTTTTTCTCGATATCTTGATTAGTTTTTAATAAAAAAGAGATTTTGTTCTGCCTTTTCTTTTTAGTGAGGCAAAATAGACACAAACTAACAATGTCAATCTTATCCTTAAGAAGGGATGTAAGAGTCTGGTAGTCTTCCTGCGGTAAAGATCATTCGCTACTCTACCAAATAAAACCATATTTCCATTTCTAATACTAATTTGTCGGACCAACTCTGATAAATAATTAGTGTACATAACTGTCGGCAGCCAAAGAAATGTTTCTAAAGCTCACGTCGTCTTACTTGATTCAATTTGTGTTGCAAAATAAAAGAGCTTTTAGTCCACCGACCGTCAGTCAATCGAATTATTCTCCAGAAAATAAAATGGCTTCAAACTTGATAATTAATTTCACAACATGTGGTGATCCTTTTTTTAGTTTATCCACGAACCTGTTTTTATATTAAACTACCTCGCGAAACAAAGGTTTCAATGAAAGAAAATGCAAATCATTTACACATATGTATTACTTCTGTTTTTCATTGAAATTTAACTCAGCACATGTGAGATTCGACGTTCCCTAAAGTAAACCGATTAAAATGGAGACTGACTTTCAGTGGTGACTTGAAAGTCTAAATTCTTATTGTTTCATGTACTATATGTACTCTGTTCTTATAGTGGAGATATACCAACGGTTTGCACGCCATCAATCGTAGCCTCTGATGCATGATTTGTAGGACAGCCATTGTTGTCATGTCCTCTACCAGTTAAGGCAATTTCATCATTATTTCCACGGATTCTGTTTACGATGTCATTAAAGAGTCGTATAAAGGCTTGCCTTAATTTTCTGCTAAATATAACGTAGATAAAAGGGTTTAGAGTACTGTTAATATTGGGCAGGGTATATATGAATGCTATGTTGACAAACGTGTAGAATCCGCTCAACGTAGAATTATTGTTACTCTGAAAACACGTTGTGCACCAAAACCTTGCCAGTAAAATGATGAAAAAAGGTGCCCAACAAACAACAAACGCGCCAACCACGACGGCCAACGTCTTGGCTGCTTTGATTTCTCGGGTTAAAGCTCGTCGTTGACTAGTCTGATTAAGGTCGATAGAAGGAACTGTTAGACGTCTTATCGCGCGCCAATGACTTACAGATACTCTGAATACGTATGAGTACGCCACTAACACGACAGTTAGAGGTAAAAAGAATCCTACACAAGCAGCGAATGTATAGAAGTACGGGTCGTTTTTGAAACACGCATCGTTGATCTGTACGGCAGGAAGGTTAGGGAATGTCCAGCTTTTAAGTCCCACAGATGCTACAATAATAGCGTAGAGCCAAACTATTGATATCATGATCACTTGTGTTTTCTTAGAAAGTATTTCATGGTAATTCATGGGATATTTTGTTGCCAGAAATCTGTCAATTGAAATCAAAGAAAGATTTCCCACGGAAGCACAACAGCAAAATAAATCAGCACAAATCCAGAATCTACACGCACCAACGCTAAGACACCATTTAGTGTTATGGATTGTTTGATGAATACGAAACGGAAGAGAAATGGAGCCAACCAAAAGATCACTAACGGCAAGTGACGCTACAAGAAAATTGGTAAAAACTCGAAGAGAATGAGTCAATATGACGGTCATAAAAACGACAAAGTTACCAATAATAGTGACAATCAAAATAACAAACAAAAACGCGACTTGTGCTGCATATGACGGAAGAGTTGGAATACCACAAGGGTCGTATATTGTGTTGTTGGTAAGATTAGCAAGCGACATTGTTAAATTGAATGCTCTTCTGTACGATCCGGTATATCTTAYGTAGATTTTCTTCAGCTTGATTTAATCAGATCTTTTTTTAACGTGTGGCGACCAGCAATAATAATCTCTTCCAGTAATTTGTGGTTTAACTGTCTTTATGTTCCCAATTAGTGATGTTGATTTTCAATGCAAACAGGAATCGTATTTGTTGGTTTGTGATGCGGATGTTGCAGTAGAAGAGAAAGAACGGTTCTTTTTGCTCGTCACTTCGGCACTATTTGAAATACCAATCTCTGTCAAAATACACCAATCAAAACTGTTAGAAAATGTGACCATTGGCAAGCAGAACAAGCCGTTTATATGATGTTCGACGCCGCCTGGACGGAGGCTGCAGGTATATCAGGTGTAATCGTCACATCACGTTTATTACGGAATGTATTAATTGTCGCAATCAAGCATATCTATTTATGATCATAATGCCAATATGGTATGTGTCAATCCAAACTCTTTTTTTACCAGACAATTATACTAGAGTGACTTGTCTTATTAAAGGTTTCTTAGCGTAACGTTTGATTTGTTTGATTTGTTAATAACACTGAGTTTCAATCCAAAGCATATCAAGTGTCGATTCACGGGGATTTTATGAATAGCGATGTTTAAGTATTCCATTTTAAGCCTAAATCTTTTGCATGATAACTAGACACCTAAAATAGAGGAGGACCTCTCTCCTTTCATTTAGATGACTAGATATCGTAATATCAAGACCACCATTATCGTTTTTTGATCAGTTTTTACYTAAGTGACTGCGTTGGACGATCCTTCATCAAAACACGATAAGACACGTCAAAAACACTTACCATTGTACAAACTTCCTTGTATTTATAAACAAAAACAGCTTTATGATAATTTATCTGATCAAGTATGAATAATTTTGTTTTGTTTTCGTCGTTTGTTCCTCAATACGCTTTCTTCCAAATTGAACATCAAATTAACAAAACAGAATCATATCCAAGAAAATCAAAATTTACGATTCATTTGTTTTTTTGACTCCGCAAACTATATGATAACTACTCGGCCTTAACGGTTGAATGAAATATTACATGAATGTCACGACATGTATCTATTTTCTTTCCTATTTACGTACTATTCACAGTAATTTGTACGCTAAGGTGAGATGAATCTAGTGGTAACTTGATCAAATAGCTAACCGTTTATCTTGTGTATTCTAGACGACGGAAGATCCTTTCATGGGTCTTTATCTCATGTGTACAAAGGTAACACTCAGGGTAACACTTAAACACGAGAAATATGAGATACAAACCCCCTTCAACTTGTCTCTCGCAACCGCTGTGCTTCTGTCAATTTTGATGTATTTCTCACATTTCCTAAACAGGCAACTTGAGTCTGTGAAAACGAGCGAGGACGTCAGTCGATGGCCTTTTTTGTATTGACTTTGCTGTACGCTTCAAGGCAAATTTGATACATCGAATCTCACATGTGCGCAGTTCATTGAAAATGAGATGATAATAAACAAAGTTTAATAGTTTAGGTCRATTATCCAATAAGAAAACGGAAAATGAAGAGGTCAAGGAAGCAAGACCGTTGGCTTTCCGTCCCTTACTTTCACGTTCCGGCAATTGGCTTACGTCTCAGAATTTCTCAGTCACTAGTATTTTTCATTAGTACGGAAAATAGGCTCTTTCTAATAGTTGGACTTAAAAGAAAAGCCTTCTAGATCTTACCTTGTTGTGCGCATGCTCAACGAATTTACATTTTGCCATTAATTGTTGTAATTCCTTCTGTGAAAAGTCATCAAACTCAGGAAGAGAACTAAGATAGTCAAGCCTTTCGTTGTACTCTTGCTGATAACTAGACTTGAGAACCTGGAATGTAAAGAAACTTTGTCCTTAAAGATAAAAGCACAAACCCTCTGTATTTTCGTACGCAAATATCAAACTGATAGTTGTGTTTGCTATTTTCAGTTGAAACTTCCTGTCATGTTTTCCGACTTGTTTTTCAATGTTTTCTTTTTAGACAATCCTGTATCCTCCAACGACAGCTAATTCGATAAAATGTGTGGGGAATCCAGATTGATTGACCGAAAGGATATTTGGGTATTTAATATCTAGTAACTAAGTCAGTAATCAGTTTGAAAAATATGAAGGATTATTTATTATTCTTGGCTTTCACTGATCACGTGATAATATAATATTCACAACGTTAGTGCAATCTCCATTTCCGTTTTTTTAACTAGTTTCCTTTTTATCGTAACTCTCTTTTGTGGATGTGCTACTGAATAAACTCACTTTATACCATAGTTGATACTAGATAGGACAGTCTTCTCTATTAACTATTTATACTAGTAAGTTGTTTGTTAGTATTCTTACCATATCAAAGTCAGGTTTATCAATTCTCAGGAATTCAGTCTGTCCTTTACAGATGATTGTAGCTGTGCGTTGGATGTTGTGTAATAAAGAAACTTCTCCAAACATATCCCCAGCATACATTTCATTGACGACCTTTTGAAACAACCGTCAAACAGCACTAATAATGCCATCATTATATATTGCTATCGTACACTGAATAAGGTGTTTCATTTGTACTTCGTGTCTTATTCCAATCATCTTGGCAGTTATAATCTACCATAATTGCTGCGTAATAWATGTTTAAGGCTGGGTATGTTTGAAGGTATGGTCTTGGTGCTTGTTATGTGACGTCACATTTTACAATACCCCGAACAAAATGTTGGACTATACGAAAACGTGTTACCCTATTGATTTTAAGACCTTGTCTGCCAAGGAAGGGGAACCAGCCACAACACTGACACACCCGTCGTCGTCCCCCCATCCCCAATGTCCGCGCCCCCTTGAACCATGCCCTACAATGCACGAAGTAATCCAACTATTGTAGGACTTTGTTTAGCCGAAAACTGTTGCAAACAAACCTGGGTGATAAGCTGGCCTGTCTTCTCATCTCTTTCATTGACTTCGACTGACACACCACCACTTAGAATAAAGTARAACGARTATCCGGCATCTCCTGGCAAATCATTGTACCGTGTATTAATGAAATTGCTGCTTATTTTTAATTAAAATTGAGAAATATCTATATGATGCGAAATGGTATGGCATCATGTCAGTCTGAATGTAGTCCATTATACCTCTAGTCTATTAATCTTTTCCTTTAAGACAATTACGGACATAAATTTCTTTCAATTGTGTACAGGTTATCCTGATTTATCAGATAAGGGCGATCAATCAACCAATTTCTCGACACTCCCCAATGGCGTTATAACGTCCAGGATGTCAGTGGAAATTGATGTTCAGAAACATCGTTAAGTTGGTTATAACAACTGATTCTATCTATCTATSTGATTCTTATAAATCATGATTTAGTTTAGTTCCTGATATTAGATGCTGATAAGTGGTGTTTGTATATAATACCCACGTAAGCCATGACGATGCCATTAAATACTAAGTAAGAAGAGATAAGTGTCTACCTTGTCTCACTAYGATACGTCCATCTTCAAAACATTCATAATAGAGAACTTTACAGAGCTGCTCTCTGACTGTTTGTGGGTAGCGTGCAAATGACTTGAGTTTATCGATGATTGACGCGAGTACTTTGAGATCAGATGTTGTTCTCATCCACGGTGGCTTTACTAGGTGACTTCTTGCTGTACTACCCACATTGCCAGGACACACGTGGGATTTGAACGCTGAGATGAAAGAAAATTATACATTTTTGCAGTACTTTCATTGATTGACTTTCATTTTCTACGTTTTATTCTTGCAGTGGAAACTTTCTGTTTGGGAGGATAACTAATGAACTTTTGTTTATTTTCGTTTTTTAATACTTAGAAGTTAAATAATGCCCAAGATAGTCTGCTATGGCCGATCTTCAAGTGTCGATTTCAATGCAAACAGATGAGTATAGTTTTCATTGGTTTGTGTTTACAAAATGTCCTTAAATAAAATGGTAATTATCTATAAACAGTGTAGTAACAAATAATACCATTGAGGTTAAAGCTTGGTTGTACGCTTTCCCTACGGCTAGTGATGCTGCTTTGAAAGAACTTCGTTTCGTTAACATCGGCAAGATTGCTTTGTATCCAGCGTGTTTGAGTTCTTATTGTTTTAGCGAATTTCTTGAATGATTTGTTGGAGYTACTTTTTTCTYTGTGTAGTGGAGGTAATATATTCATATCTGCTGATAAATTCATCACGTTTGAAGTYCCTTAACTAAGGTGTGGGTTTTTTGCTTTGTTTTACATGACAGAAATGACGCGCGAGCGTTCTTCTTTTACTTAACTTGGTCCTCTGTTTTGTCATAGAAATCGCGCGCGCAAATCTACAGATCTAAAAGTTACGGCGCAGGAACGCGAGGCGTTTGTGAATTGCATCATGAAACTAACGTWAAGCCTCGGTCCCCGAGTCCCACTCATGATAATCTTCGTACTCATGTGGGAAAAAAATCTGTTCATGGGTATTTCAAACGTTAGAGCAAAATATACTTAGAGCCCTCATAACTTTTGGCTTGCGGCAATCAACAGGAAAAATGTCCAGTTGACATTATTGCGCATGCGCAATCAAATCGGTAGCGCGCACATAATTAGCTATTAAAACAATTGGAATATGAACGAATTAGAACAACATAACTCATCATTATGCCAAGTAAATGACAAGAGCTAATAAACATGGACCTGGATGATGACTCGGTTGAGTCCGACAAACTAAGCCAAGGTAGACAAAGTCCAAAGCAAAGTAGACGACGGCAAAGAAATTCCGTCAATCCGTTYTTGCTCCCCACGTACGGATCTTTTAGYGAAGARGAGGCAAAAAAGGAACAGGAACCACCTCCTAAACCAAAAGATAAACCTCACTTGAAYTTCAAAAGGCTCGCAAAAGCCATCACTCAGCAAAGAAAACTCAACAGTCTACTACAGGTAACTAAAATGCTGTGCGGCGGTGTCGTTATAAGCAGTGCTATTTGAGATTGTATAAATGGTGGTAAGTAAACTGAAAGTGCTGCATACAACCAGAGTTAGTTAGCGATAAAACGATACGAAACAACGAAAAGCAGCGAAAGAAATGATCTCTCATTTATGCACATGAAAACTGACCAGTGAGTCAAACAATGAAATATCTGTGGAAAAAAAACAGCGAGTACTTTTGTTGAGATTTCTTATCATTTCATCATTAGGACATTGCAGAACAAGGTGACGACCACACGAAAGCAAAAGGATTTGTAGCCAAGACAGAAGATGGCCAGGAAAGATTAAGTTTTAACGTCAATGGTAATGCTTGCTGCGGAACTTGTGGAGTTKTCGTGCATTAAGGACWAAAATCTACCACGCCCTTCTATTGTAAATTAAACACTCATTATCGTAATCGGGCTTAAAAATAACAATTATAACTGACGTCGTTTTTGGAAGTATCAAAGCAATAAGAACAGGTCAACCTCCAATTGTATGTTTTCAGCCTTCAAAGCACATATCCAATCATGTGGAGTCATACCGGACGAAGTGAAGAAAATTCTTAGGAAGCCATCATGGAACCGCTCCAAAGACGAAGTGGAAAAGGTTCTTCGTATTGTAAAGAGAATGAAAGGTTTTAATCGATACCCCATGTTCGTTAAACGAGAATTAGCCAAAGTTCTATACTATGCTACTTACAAAGCTGGTAGAGTCGTGATTAGACAAGGTTTGTCGAACACCTTTTTTCATCATTACAGGGATTTCTGCTAAAGAAGATAAATTCCTAACTGTGTAGGTTGTTATTTGTCAGAAGTACATACTTCTGTATTTGTTTGATGGTTTACTGATGTTTTTTTCCTAGGACATGTTGGGATTTCATTCTACTTTATTGTGCATGGTTCTGTCATCGTCGAAAGAGTCGAGGAAGATAAGGCAACTGGAGAAAGACACACACAGGTTAACTAATGCAGCATGTGAATTCTTCAAGTGAGACTTCCATTAATCTTATTTATCCTACAGATCGTTGGTGAAATGAGTGAGGGCGACTCATTTGGTGAATTAGCACTCCTTCATGACATTCGAAGAGCGGCCACTATCATCTGTAAGGAAACCTCGGAGTTYTTGATTGTCGACAAAGAAGACTTCAACGAGGTAAGATCACMTTTTAGACGAGTTCGAATCCRCARTAGCCAAGTRCGAAGGACAACGGCTTCTCACCCTCAGTCTAAGAATTCTCAGGGCGTYAATTGTTARTCATGATTTGATTCTTTCTCTRATGGTAGTGATAAATGATCGRCATTTTTCAGGTTCTGCGAATGAGCCATCAGATTGAATATGAGAAAAAGATATCAATTCTTTCCAACAATTGTGCATTTGAAGACTGGTCAGCCACTGAAATCAAGCAAACAGTTCATCACACCAAGTTACAAAGCTACAAACAAAATACGGTGAGTGTCACCATTAAAATAACCCTTCTCAATCAATCAATTTGCACCTGACCGATATTCGGATGTTTACAGGTTATCCTGAGTGGTACAGAGGTTGCACCAGACTTCACGTTTTTTATTATTAGCGGAAAATGTCACGTCGTTCGCGATATGAACGTTGTAAAAAATATCCTACCATCAGGCAAAGCGCGCTTCACACTTCCTCCCATCGACGATAAACCAGGAATTATTCATGCTGAATGCTACAACAGAAAACGAAAAGTAGAAAGAAAGTTACTTGTGATAAAAACCCTTAAAAGAGGAGATTACTTTGGAGTTGGTGAAGACTTAGGGAAAACATACATTATTTCTGCAGGAAGGGTARGCATTAAAGGTAGTATTGATAATTWTGTCATKWAGTGAATTGCAATCAAATGAAGTAGAACCAAGTCAAGCTGGGCAAAAAACCTAAACACTTTGATTCTAAGGATTTTGGACCATCACAACTATTTCGTTATCAGCTGGCCTTTACTTATATACCCTTGACAAACTCTTAAGTATTAATACTTCATMAAGTAATTATTTTTTTCCATAGGTTCACTGCATCCTTATCAACCATATTGTACTTTTAAAAAGAGAAAGGGGAAAGTACATGGAAATTATGCGACAAAATCTGTTGAACTCTTTTCCAACTCCTCAGCAAGTTTTTCAAGGTTTTGTTCAGGACTACACCTGGAAACAATACAAGAAGAAATGTCTGTCTGATATATTTAGCAAACAGAAAAAGACTACGAGCACAACATATAATGATGTCCCCTTTGTAGTGAGAMAAGACCATTGCTATTATTTAGAGTAATCAATACATTCAAATAATTCATAAAACCAAAAACATATTGTTCATTAAGACTTGATTGTTATTAATATTGCTATTTAAAGATCTCTTAAACAAAAGTAATATTTCTTGTATGGCACACCAATGTATACCAACTACACATTATTGTCCAGCATCTGTCCCATAACAAGTGCAAAATATGAATTTATGCTGTTCCTCAGAAMGCAAATTTGCTTGTWCTTGGAAGTGGTCTTTSAACTTCRTATTAYAGGACARCTTATTGATGTTGTACATATTTCRTTGATGCTTAGGTAAGTTCACCAACCACTTCYTTAATAACCTCAAGGACTTGGAAACCTGTGTYCCATGSTATAATGYTGGCATCAACTGATGATTGTTTATYTTTCAATAATTCAAGAAGTTTATAGCCATCTCTGGCCAAGATGTAATCCTTATTTGTTAATGATAATGAAGGACACAAATCTCCTTTACCATCTCCAATGTAAAATACATGATCAAATGTAGGGTGACTTTGTGCATATTGACTTTTGAAGTCCATCAACACCTCTTTCTTACATAAATTAGCAGGGCATATGTTACATCTATGACTGTGATATCTCTCTACATGCAGACAGCCCTCYTTCCATTCTGCAGGGTTGGTGTATACATTACAGAAAACATGACCTAAGTGATCTCGTTTGAYAAGGTGATCAATGAAATAAGTATTCGAGTCAGATATTATGATACAAGGAATGTTATTCTTATGAATATAATCACAAGTTTCCTTCATTCCTTCCATGAACTGCAAGCTTTCAAAACATCTTTCGTAGTCTTGCTTTGCAAAGTTTTCATGATAGAGAACTCTAAATACAGTTTGCATAACGTTAGTCCAGCACATTCCTGTCTTTCTCTCAGATAGAGTGGTCTTGGCAGACTGCGAGAGTTTCGTGATCCAAGTATCTGTGTTACCTTCGACCAAAGTATGRTCAAAATCAAACACAACTAGGACACGAGGACTTTGTATATCCATCGTTTCTGCCGTATAAAGTCAGAGATTTCGATATTTTTAACTATCCGCGCGTTCACCTTCCCGGCATTTTATTTTCCAACCACATATCCCAAGATGCATCACGCGCATTACTCATTCCCAGACTCCTCTGAGACGTTTACAATCAGTTACCATAACAACAGTTGCCCATACACCTCGCATAAACTCATAATGGCTTCCAGCACAATCATGCATGGACGAAGAGAAGGGCAAAAACGAGGTATTTTCTTCGTAAACAAGTTCAAATAAACATGGTTCAAGTTTTAATATTCTTCAATCTTCTTATAGAATACAACGATGTACAAGTTAGCGTAATTCCGGAGGGATATGACCAGAGAGATGTAAGCTTAAGTGATCAAAGCTCTGGCTCAACTAAACGTCTCTATGAATTATATTATTTCATGCYCTATCTTATTTTCTAGGTTACAGTTATACAGCCTGCTGACTGGAACAGGATTCAAAATAGTCTTGCTCACTACAACAAGGAAGAAGCGAGGCTAAAAGCTCTACATGAAGAGAGAGAAGCACTTCATAACATGTCAAAGGAAATGGTCCAACACTGGGGCAATACAATCGAAGTAAGAATCACATTTCTTTTCCAATTTTTTCTTATCCAAAAAGAATAWGTTCCCAACATATTTATTTTACTTCTAATAACAGGGCCAAAGAATAAAAAAGCTACAAGCAAGAAAAATCAGAGAAGAAAAAGAAGAGGCAAGTTATCAATAATCATTAGCATATCATTAATATTAATTCATTTCTATATTATTTTTCAACCACTTTTCTGTTCATCTTGAATTTGAGCTGTTTGATTAAATGGAKAAATTTGATAATGCAGGAAGAGAGAGTGAAGATAGACATAGAAGAAGCAAAACTGCAAGCACAGAAAAGGAAAGAAGCAATYGAAAGGGCCAAAACCCAGCAGTACTATCAGACTGATAGAGTAAAGACATTCCATGTAAGTACTATTTGATAATTCAAATAATTTGATAGCTAAACTCTGATAAAGAAAGTACTGTATACCTCCTGCAAAAYTGTAGAGTTTATTGTAAATGAACTGAATTTGATGTTTAATCTCTCTTTTAGGGAGCACTTTTGTTGACAGAGGTAATGAAGGAGAGAGAAGCCCAGATCAACATGAAAAAGAGCAATTTAGATGCAGAAAAAATAAGAGATGAACATCTATTGAGGTTGCAGAGAAGGGTAAATTTATATTCTCACCATTATTTCCTATAATCACTGGCCATGTTAAATGTGTTCATTAACATTGCAATTCAATCTTGTAGCAATTAGAAGAGGCAATACGTCAAGATCAAAAAAGAGCCCTTCAACGATAYAATCAAACCAGAGATGTTGCTGGTTTTCAACTTTTACAGTAAGTTTCAATTTACATTTACTACTAACTGTACACTAGCTTGTTCTCTGTACTGTTGTTCTGGGGTATTTCAAGCACAATCATTTTTATGAAGTGAAAGTTTGTGAAAATTTCCCCCATCATTTGATTACCTTAAATTTGTGTTTTCTATTCAAACAACTGACATATTTGAACATGTAAGTACATTGGGAAGAATTGGATTCATTATATCTTGCTACTTGTTATAGGATTAAAGATAATGTTGAAGAAGCACATAGGGCCAGACAATCTGATCTGAAAGAAGGCAAAAATGTCAAACAACAAGTTGAAATGTATCAAGCAGCAAAAGCAGCCATTGAGGAAAAGAGAAGACAGGTATGCTGATCATGATTATTACTGGATAGCAGAGAATAGAAAACACRCCATAAAGATGGTAAACTCAAATGTTTCTTGATTGTGATTTTATAGGAAAAGAGAGATCTTATGGAAGACCATCAAAATCAACTTTCAAAAAGAGAGGTATGTAAATTTATGTAACTAATTTTAGGACTGAAAGTGTGAGAAACTATGGAACAGCATTTTTATTTTTAAAGTTACAGTAATGAACAAACAAATGCAGCATATAATTTATTAAAAATTGATAACACAAATATATTGTCATTTTTACAGGAACTTCGCAAAGAAGAACTAAAACGACAAGAACARGAAGATGAGGAAATTCGTCAATTTGCAAATGCTAAAAAGGTTAGTATGTCATGCACACACTTGTTGACTTGTCCACAGTGGTTTACTTGGAGCACTGTAAAGTTGTGTGAGAAGRTCAAAATGAGCAATTTGCACATYCATTATGCAGTAATGCAATATTGCATTATTTCTTTTTACAGAAAATGTCAAAGATGAGGAAGGAAAAGGAGACTGAGTTGTTCAAGTGAGTTGTTATAACCGCTTTGGAAACAAGAACTCTTCTTCATTGTATAATTTGTGTTTTCTGTTTTAGTGTTTTTCAAGAGCACACAGAACGCATGCGTAAAAAGCTACATGACCAAATGGTTCAAAAAGTTGACAATGAAGACGAAAGGATTGCTAAAGCTTTAGCTGAGAGAGAAAAACAAAGAGAGGTTTGTAACAAAGAATCCTACTTCAAATATAAACTAAATATCAATTTATCAGATTTTTCAGTATTCGATTACAAGCAGTTAAGTTATATGAAATATAATACRTATGACTTTTGATCCTAGGAGGAGGAAAGAGCAAAGCAAGAAGGATCTTTGAAAGAGAAAGCAGCAATTCATCAGCACCGTGTGTCGACAGTATGTATCATGAGAAATGATGCATTTATTCCTGCATTTACTCTTATTTATTAATTATATATACCTGTATTTTGCTGACAAATGTGCATTCAGTGTTCAATCAATAATGGAATAAATCGTTTATAGATGACAGCCAAAGAAAGAAAGGCGAAAGAGGACAAGCTCAGAGATGAAGAAATCTTAAAGAGAAGAGTTGAATCAGACAAATTGGTAAGTTAAATCAATAAATAATTTCAATTATTTTGTGTGCAGTTTATTTCTGAATTTAATTATTCCTTTTTTGTCTTAATTCAAGAAAATAACAACTTCCTTTTTGTTTTAGTTTCATGCCAAGCAAGAGCAAAAGAGACTTGAGAAATTAAAAGAAGCAAAACAGTTAAAGAATTTTCAACTTACACAAGTGGTAAGCTTTTTATTCTTTTGTTTTATTYGTGTCTATATTGGGGAAACCTCTGCCGAACATGGTGTCTGTGTAGAAAAAAAATAACACGTGTCACAAGAAAAACACTACTTACTAAAATGAATCAATGATATCGCCATGATACATATCGACACTATATACTTGCACAACGATGCATTACAATATCACGCATTATTTTGTAGGGTGATCGTCAAGTTCGAGAGACAGAAATACGAAAAGAAGATTTACTTATTGATGCTAAAAATGATAAAACTATGGAGGAAGAAGAAAGACAATTTCAAGARTATGCAGCTATGGTAATCCAGAACGCTAAGGTTCGCGATCGTAATCCATATCCCCTGATAAAAGCCGCCCAGGATGGACCCGGTGGTGGGCGTGGCCCAAAGTTTGATGGAAAAAATGGTCTTCGCCCCAGCTTTTTAGTATGTGATGGTACAGGAGTGCAGCTACCCAACTATGCCACTGCTACAACCAGTGGACATCAYACGCGAATTTACGGAGACCCTGGTAAAAGTCGGAAGAGGCTTGGCTTCACGTGGTGAAAAAATTTCAGTCAAATAATATTTTACATGTAARATAAGAAAGTATCATCTTTAGAAGCTTTATATTATAACGTTTGTCAGATCAGAATACTTTGAAAAATCACCAGTGTAAAATCAAAAATTGTAAAGTGGTTTGAATGTAATCTATTGCGTCGCATGCCGTTGTAAGAATATTTTTACTGTGTAATCTGCATAAATGGTAAATAAAGCTTTTAGAAAACTATAGAAATATTATTGGTATTATATTCTAAAAGTGATACACTAATGAATCACAATGTTATAAGTGCTGTGAAGTACTGAAGGAGAYACGACTAGAACTTGTGGAAAACAAGTGAAAATCAAAAAAAATACGCGTAAAAAAAAAGCATCTACATGTCGCTATACATTATTTTAGTTTAGGAAACAGTTTAAAATGAGAACTAGTAATCAAACGTCATCAGTTAGATAGTTTGCATTCGTCTAAAGATTTTATATATTTTTTCGAWTATTTGGTACATTGTATTTCAACTAAGGGGACCCCCACTGGGTATGTTTTTTAAAAAAGGCCTGGCTGCTAAGCCATTGAATAATTCTACAAAACAGCTGAAAAGGGAATTTTAGTGTCGGTGTTGTTCCTCGAAATAAATCATGAGTTAGCTTTCAAGACGCAACCAARGTGTGATGATTGTGAACTAAAACAGCTTTTGTACAACATGCCAGCTTCAGATTCTCTCGAGGCTTTGGCTATCCGGCAAGAGGCCGAGAGATTTCAGTCATTTTATCCCCGAATTCAACAATTATTTGAACTGCTGGAGCAAGTGGATAATGTGCCTTTGAAGAGAAAGATGCGAGAGTTGGTGAATGGATTAGAAGGTGGGTTGATGCTGTCTTTGTTTGGTTATCTTAGTTTAAGGTATTGTTAGTATTTTCGACTATCAAGTCGAGATTGAGCAACACTCCATATTCTCACCGTCACATTACTAGACGTATACAGGTAAGGTAACTGAACTTACATCTGTTGACTACAGAACTCTGATATGTAAACATTATACTTTTATTCGAATGTTTTTAATCAAATACCGGAGTAATTGTTTATTTTCTCWGTTCTGCGTACTCAAAGATTGAACTACTTTAAAGTTATTATCTTAATGTTTTATCGCAGTAAAGAACATACCCCATCACAGTTTTGTCGATTTTGCAGTCATCACGGGTGTAGAAACTACCGTATTTTGAAAATATGATAGCTTCATGTTCACCTCAAGGTTTAAAGTAATAAATGTATTCTAATAATGATGCAGAAAGTGTATTTTAAGGCTGAGATTCTTATAATTTATACCAACATGTTTTCGAAGTAACAATAGGCTAAAGGAATCTAATTTCGATGAGTGGTTGACATATTAAATTCTAACAAATACGKAGATTGGTCAGTGCAGTGATAAGCTTCAAAGAAGAAAATCAATATGTTTTTATTAGAATTTCCGTGAATTTCGGCTGTCGCTAATCTATAAAAAGCCTGTCTTTAATATGTCTTTGTTTATATCTCTACGAATGCTAACAAAACATCTGTATTCATGTGATGCCAGTTATATTTTCCGATCATTTTCGGCAAAGATTACAGTAGAAAATCACTATAAATTAACARCCTTAATTCTTTCATCTCGAATTTAAATTTGACAAGTAAAAAAGAAATCATTTGTCATATCTTGTTTCAAGTGCGACGTTAAATGTTTATTCATTTTACTAAAGTCTTGTATTTTAATAGTATTCCTTGGAAAAATTGTGGAAAAACAAAAACATGAACCGAACATGTGAAAAAGACAACATTTGTAGCCTAGTGCTACAGYAAATGAAATATTCAAGAAATGTTTGGGGTTCTTTGTCACTCAAGAGGGCCATCCTCAATAACTAGACTGACCAATATTTTGTTTAGCTTTTATCTAAAAAGGAAAAGATAAAAATGTTGCAAAAATGGTGGGCATGAAATTTGATATCTTTGACATGTTTACATGACATCATCTTTAARGTAGTTATTCTACCGAAAGAATTCATGTTTTTGTTGAAAAATGTCTTTAATGTTTCATTGCATGTGACTTTATTTGATTACCATCAATCATTGATATCTTGTACATCAGACTACAAACTTGCAATGACACTCCATTATTGATAAGTAAGTGCCTTTTACAAATGGTCTGCTGTCATCCAAGACTCCTTTGAAAAAAAGCACTTTGAATGATAATCTCCATAACATTGAGCTTTCTTTTTTATTGAACTATTTCATATATCATTTAACATGTTGCAAAATCAAATTCATATGATTGTTATTGGTATTCAGTGTCCATGTTTGTACTAATGTCTATTAAACATATTTCAAAAGGCTTAATAAGATTAAAACGTGCAAACATATGTTAGGGAAACATCATAATTACACTGGCCTGATTTTCAGATGGGCTTGGGTCTGATCCTATGGCTTTTCCCCAAAGGCACAWCCAGTGAACATCATCCTTAACCTTGTCATCGTGACCACAATGCCCTTGTTTTGCAAACAGTCAATGAAAATGCTCAGCTGTAAAGCGCATTGATTTTAATGGTTTCTTGAATTTTTCAGAAACATTTCTCAACAGTCCAGAGTTTACAGTTTCTAAAATCAGCAGTAGCTTGGAACTCAGATTGGTAAGCAAYTTTCASTTTCAATAATTGTGTAGACAAGTGTTTGATTTAATGTATCAACTAGATGTACAATAGATCATTTATTTGTTCATTCAGGTTATGAAAATAAATGCTAGATAATTTTAAATTCATATMAATGAATTCAGAAGACGTTTGTCTAGCCTTTTTAAGCTCATGGATACAACCTTCAATAAATACCACTGTACTATTAGACTACTTCATGTATTTTTTAATGAAAAATAGTAAAAAGATGTATTTTATCCTAYATTTGTTATCATAGGGAATTGTTGGAAGTTCAGTCTCTGGAAAATCGTTCTTAGTTCAAAGGTACCTTACTGGTATCCATCCAAAGATGGAATCATTTAGTGGYCGGCACAAAAAAGAGGTGATCCATGATGGTCAGTCTCATTTGCTGTTGATGAGGGATGAGACWGGGCCTCCAGACTTACAGGTATTTTACATATGTGCCTGGTAATAGTTCATAGGTAGCCATACTATGGATGTGTATAAAAATTAATGCTGGATATGAACRTGTAAACACCCTTGAAGCCAGGCAACTCCTTGGTCCTGGTCTAGTTTTTTGTATAGACATCAATGGTTATCTAATGTGAGTGAGGACTATGTGAGTGCTGGTGAATGGTCCAAAACCCACTTAGAGGTCATGACCCTATCTTATAATCCAATACCAATACTCTACTCACTTTAATCTGAGACTTGAGGCTTAAAAATCTGTGAGATTCCAAGATTGAATAAAATACATCTCTGTAGAGTTTACTAGCAGGTCAAAATATCTTGAGGTACAATTTGCTACACATCAAATGGCTCAGTGCATTATTAATTTTAAGTTGAATATGAAAAATGAGGGTGAGACATTTATGAGGATTTAAAACTCTGACTGTGAGCTGCAAGGAGCAGTTTTAAAGCAGTTTTTAAAGCCCTTAAAGGTCGAACATGAATATTTTGATATTGGTTATCAAATTCCAATACAAGCTAAAGCTTATTTTACTAAAAACTTCAAGACAAAAAATCATTTTAAGAGAAAATCCAAGTTTAAGTCATATGCAAATCAAGACAAATCTCTTCCTCAAGATTTGGTAACTGTCAGTAATGAATTTCTTTGTGTTATATTGTCCTTACCTATTTATTATTAATTATTAGTGATAATCTTAAAATATCTTAAAGCATGTGTGTGTGGCATCTGATCTATTTTTGTGATGGTCTAAATGACTATTATACTGTAATTTAGTAATTTATTTTTTTGATGGTCTAAATGACTATTCTGCTTGTAATATAGTTCACCCAATGGGTAGATGCTGTTATATTTGTGTTCAGCCTGGATGATGAGCTTAGTTATAGTATGATTCCTGGCTACTATGCTAAGATGGCACAGTATAGGAACATTTCTGATATACCAGTAATACTTGTTGCTATGAGAGGTATGTATAACAACTCCCTCAATGCATCATTCAATCAATAAATAAGCAAACAACTAACTAACCAACAATACACTTATCAGCAAATCACATCAATTAGCCAGTTCCTGAAACACCAAGCATTCAAGCTCAACTTACTAACCAAACAGCAATCCAGGAAATCAACTGGAAAACAAAAAAACAACCTTAACCAACAAACCAACCAGACAGTTACTCAATTAATCAATCCTTCTGTCTATCTATCCATCCGTCAACCAACCTATTGTATTTGATCAAGCCATCAATTATTAGTCAATAAATCTGACATAATTAATCTAGTCATTCAATCAATCAATTAATTAGTTGATCATTCAATTGACCTTATTAACCAATATAATCTAAAAAAAACATATAATTATTGTCAATAATTATTAGCTCGTAAATCAATATCAGACACCAGTTTTTTGTCATTATTTAATAACAAAAAGACATTGTACTATTTTATGGTTTTGAATCATTGAAATGAAAGAAACAAGTTATAATGTATATATGTATTGGCTTGGAAGTTGAGTAAATATTGTCTAATTAGTCAAACATAGTCAAGTAACGATGGTGATTTGTTTGTGTTCAAGATGGTGTGGATGATGATTATCCAGGAACCGTCAGCCTTCAACGAATCAAGAAACTTATCAACGACCTTAAACATTGTGTTTATATGGAGGCATCGGCTTTGACTGGGGACAACGTTGATGCTATATTTAAAACAGGTAAAGACACTGGGAATTACCCACTTATCGCTCCCTTTTCACTGTCACCAGAGAACAATACTCCATTGAATTGAAATAGGAAGGAGACAGACAGGAAAGTGTTTAGGAAATGTGGATCATTTTTCTTTAGAATCTTTTTACACTTGATTGAATTAATTAGAAACGTTTTTATTGTTGTTAAGTTTATAATTACCAGTTACCTAAGTATTCACTCAATATATAAATTAAGAGTGGTTTTTCTAGTTTTATGCTCAGTCTGTGACCTTAGGCGATCGTATCACGCCGAGAAGTCAGGAAATGCTCTTCTCTTTACTCACGCATTGTTTACGCGGACTTTATTACGTGTTAAGACTCTCCTTTTACGCTCATACGTTTGGCGTGATTAATGGTGTACTTAGTCTGTAATGAAGTGATAAAATCGCTTTAAACGTGGTATACTGTAAAGTAACGATCCTGTAATTGATGTTATCTTCTTTCTGAAATGTCCGCACTTTCTGAACAAGCTTTTCGTGAATGGAACGTGTGCATATGAAGACGTTTCCAGGGGCAACAAATCATTGTGCAAATATTACACAAGTTGTTTTTGGTCTGACTGCTTTATGGGAGAGTGTTTAATCACGACTTGTCCTCATTACGTCTTTTGTTTTGTCTTAATCGTGCAATATATTAATTGGCGTTTTTTGTGAGAATCAAGTGAGCTATTCCACCATCTGGATTCTATTTATGACCAAATAGAGACGAGTGGCTGCAAGTTGTACATGACCGGAAGATAGCGTAGAAAGTTTTACGGGTGTAATATACCCTTACCGACATTTTACTCCTCAGCGCATATCCGGCATGTACCATATATGGAAAACGGTTAGTTTACTAGGACAAACTTAGGTGAATGACCGTCTGAAGCCGTCTTGTCCTGAATTATTTCGGTATCATCTTGGTGTACAAATATTGTTCTCAGTAACGTCCAAAACAGTCCTAAATGCGGATTCACAGTCCTAAGTTGTCATTCTTCGGGACTCGTGGTTTCGCTGACCTATCCACTGTGAATAATGGTAAGTCAAGATATAGATCCATATATTAACAACCATAATACATTATCAGTTGTGATAAGCCTACCTTGTATCGAAAATTGATCGTGTTGATGTTGAAAAGGTGTTTTCAAACAAATGAAGACTTTAGGAAAAGATATCACGTTTTAATGAGTACCGAGAACAGTAACTACTAACACCAGTATCTTTCACTATTAGAATAATAAACACGTTCACTTTCATATGTAAACACGGGGTAAACTTTGGCCGTCTTTTTAAAAACCAAGCCAAATAGTCACTGAAGCACTATCAGGTTTCAGTCAAGCAAAATAATCATTTTCAGAGAAACCTTTTTAGAAGTAATTTCTTACACCTTTTGCCCTCTTGGCTAATATGATAATTATATTTCAAAATGTCTTCAAATAGCTGTATATATTTAAATGTAATATATGTGCAAACATGTCTTCCTATACTGTGACTATAGTTATAAACATGAGTTCGTCCTGGTATTTTATGATTTGACATAACTTGATCGAGTCGTTATTTTACTTTGTTGGAGATTCCTGATATTAAATGCAATCTTTGGCTTCAGCATCTAAGGAAATTGGACTCTTCCATGAGGCTTTTGTTGAAAAAACAATACCAAATTGACCAGTTTTGCTTAGTTTTATTTTGTTTTTAGTGTATTATGAAATAGTAAACACTGTAGCAACAAAGTTGAGTTAAGGTATTTTTTCGTTTCGGTTTGAATAAATCATTTCACCCTGTGACAGTTGATTATCTTTTGAAAATCTTTCTCTTTTGGTGTTTTTAAATGGGAATATGCATTTAAGATATCTAAGCTAAAGGTAAAGATGTAGATCTTGATATTGTTCTTTTGTTTTAGCCGCACATCGGTGTGAAATCATTAGTGAAAACATTAGATGTTATCGTACTTCCATAAATGTAACGCAACCTTATAATTCCCACAGAGTTTTCCACCTGCAGAATATACTATAAAATGTTCTATCTATAATCCTTGTTCACTAATCCCTGTAATTAGCAAGCCGCAGTAAATAACAAAAAAGCTATCAACCATGTTTCATATATCTTCTATATTTTCGCGCATTTTTTTCGCGGCAAAAGTTTCTGCTGACCGGAAAAAGAATTGTCACTGCGGGCGAAATATTCGATTAGCATATCGGTTGAGGAATGCATGTGCAAGCGGGTTTTGTAATTTATTGTTCACATTTTATTTCCTTTTAGTCCAAAATAGTCAGCTTTAGCATTTTCAAGGGAAGCGTGTTTTTGTTTGGAGGCGTTTTTGGTTTCTTTGACAGAGTTTTGTTGCAATCGCATCCATCAGTACTACGTTTTCAACAAAGTCACTCGAATCATTTGGATGTTTGTGTATTTTTACGACCCCAAAATTAGCTTGTTATAACTTATGACGAAGACAGGAAGAATTAACTTGCTGATGAATCTATTCTACATGGATTAGAAGGTCGWTTCCAATACATTTCGATTGGAAAAAAGTGGATTTTTTGTCGATGAATTTATCAACGAAGGGCGCGTGGTATTTAGACAGTTCTAACAAAAAGTGAACTAAGCTTACTACAGTGACTGACTTTTAACATTCGGCTGGAATCGCTAGGAAGCAGTGATTTGTAATGATTCGGCGAAGTTTTCAGCTTTCTGGATCTTACGATGTAATTAAAGACATTACTGATCTTGAAGGTAAGAGCTTGCATTCCTTTATGGTCGACCTATCCACGTTGATTGGTATAACGGACAAAAATCGGAAAATCATTCTCAGATTTATTGATTGGTGTAGAGTTATAATTATTTATTATGACTGTTCGAACCTGCTTGTGTTGAAAGTACTAATATTATGTAAAATGAGACCTATATGTACAATATTGATGTATCAATGTATCAGATATTGAGGTGTTATATCGTAGATGTCCATATCGGTAATGTTTTCACCAGGTAATCTCGTATTCTTTCAAATCCCGGAATAAAATAACTGTTCATGCATGACTCATGCAACGATAAAATTGCGTCGTTTTGATTCAAGTCCCAATAGTCAAAAGCACTAGATGTTATCGACTTGTATATGGCGTGAAGTTCTTTTAGCCTAGTTTGTTTACCAAATGAACGGGACATGTTGACGTTGAAGTAGAATAGCAAGTCTCCTTTCAAACATGATTATTACAGACATGTAAAACACGATATCTTGACCTAAGAGGTCAATATTATATCCTTAGCAATTTGCTTTGAAAACAAATTCGCAAATCACGAGAGAAAAGCTTATGCTTAAGAGTGTGTAAATCATCAATAATACATCAACATTGGATGATACAAGATGGCAATTATACCGAAGATATGCATAATAACAAGTTCTCTCGATATTTCTTTGTATTTATTGTTAATTGAATTTAAGCAATGTATATTGCATTTTTTATGTTGTTTTTACCCTAATAAATGTAAAATCTAGGCTATTGCTGTAATGATGAGATGTTTTTGAATGGCTAAAACATGAGCCAATTTAAGTAATTGTCTATTTAGAACAAATAGCAGCAATTATTGAATCTGTTAACACATTTCCATTGTGTTCAATAACCTAAAACCTTGTTAACACCTAATATTCTTATACAAGATGTAATGAAGCTAGTACATTGAACTAAAAAGTTCTTACTAGATTGATAATATTTCTACATCCTTAACCTTATCAAATAAAGGAGATTGCTTTGTGATCTCTTTGTGAAATTCTTATAACATCCCACCACAAAAGAATATATACATATTCCGTTATTTACCACTGCACCATTGAAAACCTCTAAGGATGGTATAAATAATGATATACTCGTGACATTCTAATATATTCAGTGTTAGTTATGTTAAGTTATACTTACTAGTAGAAATTAAACCATCATGTTGTGACTAATGATGATTACAATGATATTATTGCTATAAATACAGTTTATTTTAATTTACTTAAATAGTTTGAGTTTTGTAAGTAAAATTTTGGTTTGTTTTTGCACATTCAGTGTTTTCATTCTATATTATAGTGTAAATTAGCCATAGATAGGGCTTCAGCAGAAAATCAGTGTAGTAATATTAAAAACTTTCACTTCCCATTAGTACAGGAATTGTTTATTTTGATGATGTTTTCAAAGATTAAAAAAATTTAAGTTTACTAATTCCATTCTAAAGATCTGATTTAGTGACCAAATTAATTGAAATTTGTCAAAGTTATATATATATAAAGCTTCTATTGCATCCTTCTTGGGCTTGGTTTTATGAAGTCTATAAATGAATATTACACATTAGTTAACGTCATTGACTTGTTTGTGTGTTTCAGCAATTGAGAAGTTAATTCAATCAAAAGAAGCTCCTGTTTTAACTTCCTATGACCAAGTCATCTCTCCATCAGTTACAGATGGAGGACAAAACACTGTCCTCTCCTCCAGTCCTTCCAATAGTGGTAATAACAGTTTGGCATCAACACCATCCTCTACAGCTAAGAGATCAACACGGAGGAGGACTATGCTGTTTAGTTCTGTAAGTAGTCTCTATGAGGATTGTCTTGATGGTTTCATCAAGAGTATTATAGCTATGACAACAGGATGTTCATCTTAAAAGTGCTTTAGATAGCTTACAAGAGTCAGTACATGAGTTTTGGTTTCAGGAAATACCATATATCTATAAACAATGATGGAAATGATAGTACATTTTTTGTGGGAGTGCAATTGTTTTGTTAAAAACAATGAACCTACGATAGTCAACATCATTAAGATGTGAAAGTGGGAATAACATGAATCCAAGTGGTTTTATTTTTTATGATCACTAGATAAAATAATTTAATTTTTTTTCTTGTGATACAAAAATTTAATCACTTGGAATATAAATAAAAAATGTTAAGAAAAGAAAGGACAAAAACAGCAACCACAACACTATTTAACCATTGTGAACAAAAAATTGTGCAGATAACATCCATGGTGTACTTGAAAACCATAGCTTTGAAATATGATTCATAAGTAAAGCTGCCACTTGAGTCTTTCAAGGTCATGATTGAATTGGCATTACCATTAATAATAAATATCACCAAGCCATATGTTGATGACAGACTTTGTGGAGTCATTAAATGAAATGGTTTGTAGACATAACTGTGGTTTGACTCCTATTTAATGTTCTTTTAACTTCTGGTTGGTTGTGGTTTTAAATTGAAAAATTAGAACCTTTGTATCTATTCAAGGCAGATGTATAGTTTACAACATGAGCGGCCGTGTTGTATGGGAATTACAATTGTAATTCCCATACAACACGGACGCGAATGTTGTAAACGACTTATAAAACTCCAACACAAATTAACATGAATTACAGTGAGATAAATGACGAAAAATGACAAATAAGGTAACTGCTGAGTTTAGTCCCTATTAAGCATGCGCAATTTACTGCAACACAGAACATTTTGAATAATTATCCATCCCACATGGAAAGCAAGCCATCTGTTGCATAAGCGAGTTCTGTTATCCGTCTTTGATTGCTTCAAAACCTAGTGAAGTTCTATGATGCGACACTAAAACTGAGACCTTTGCTAGTGTTGGGTTGTCTCAATGGTGACGACCGTGTTGTAAATCTGATACAACACTAGTGGTTGTATCAGATTTACAAGGTCAATCACCTGATTAAATGGTCAGCCCTTATTGGAGCAATAGCTTATGCATTATTAATAAGTTTTATAATGAAAATTACAAACCACTTTGGTGATAAATTGGCCAAAATGAAAACCTTTTGATTTTAATCATGCATCTCTCTTGGTTTTATAGAAAGACAAAAAGGATAAAGAAGTTGTGACAGACACTGATGTTGGAAGCGGACGAGATATTCCTATTAAACAGGTAACCTTGGCTCAGTAATGCAAAGCATAAAACATTAAACTCTATATAAGTGTGCAAATGTTAAGCACGTCTTAGAAGTGGTAGTTTTTTAGATGCAGAAAGAGAATTAATATGATGTAACATACATTTTGTACCATTTTATTGCACACCAGGCGTAAGTGTTTTTTGTCTTGATCGTTTTTCATTCATTCATTCATTTTCATTCATCCTTTTATCCATTTCTCAATATTTATTTGATTGTTTGTTTATTCCTTTATATTGGTTTCATGTATATTTATTTGTATATTATATTTTGTTTACTTGTAGGGATATTTGTATAAGAAAAGTGCAAATTCTATCAAACAGGAATGGAAAAAGAAATATGTCACTCTCCTAGATACTGGCATGCTTGTGTATTATCCAAATTTACATGTAAGTATTGTGGGAAAAAAATAGCACTTTGGATTGTCTTTGAATTTAGGAAACCTCAATCCTAATGCTGGTATTGAGACAAAAAATAATATTTGTAATCTCTAGCTTACATAGACCTTATCATTCACAACATCTTTTGCTTCTCTATAATAATGGTCACAAAGATTACTGTAGTTCAGGTTTTAATTGGCCTACCATTAACTATAATTGACAACCAGTTTCATTAGTGTACCAATATTTGTGTTAATGACATACTTGCTTATTCATATAAAGTGATTATTTATTTTCAATTTCACAGGATTACATGGCAGATAATCATGCCAAAGAAATAAATCTTAAACATACAACAGTCAAAATCCCAGGTCAAAGGCCACCAAAGGCATTAACATCCTCACAAACACAGCAAACATCTGATTCAAGACCTACAACACCTGTAGAATTACTGGCAGAAAATAACAACAGTAGAATGGAATCTTTAGCAAAAAATGCAACAGTAATACAAAATGGACTTGCATTAGAGTGTTCTCAGGTTGATGGAATTGATCTAGATGCTTCTACCAATCTCTCTGGAGCTTCAAATGCAGTCTCTAGTTCAAGTAAAGGAGAACAAAACCCTACAAATGCTGTTAAGAAGAAAAACAAGCGAAGGAAGCACACAAAATCTTGTGAAATTGACTATGAGGAGCTTGAAAAAGCACTTGCTTCAGCTGCAACAACTGTAGCAGCTGTCCAACCAATCATGAGAAATGAGTCTCATAATTCTAGTCTTAAGAAAAAAGGTCACAGDAGAGCAAAGAGTGGAAGTGGGAAATTTGATACTGATACAGGTAAAAATATTATCCATTGCAAATTTTTTCAAAGTTTCAAAAACCATTTCCAAAACCTTTTTTCTGTGGTACCCACTAATTCTATCTTTTTTAATCCAGAAAATTTAGATTTTGAATTTACTATTATATCATTGGATGGAAAGTATTGGAATTTTGAAGCCGGATCTCAAGAGGTAGTCTTTGTTAAACATCACAGCAGCCATCTTTGTTGAACTTCAACTAAAGATTTCTCTTAGTATCTATTGTTGATTCAATCATCATGGCTGTTGGTCATTTATCATTTGAATCACATGAAATTGAAAACAAATGATGAGTTACTGTGATAAAAAATTGTATGATGGCTTAATGGAGTTGTTAGGAATTTGATAGGAATAAGATTAATTTATTTTTACTAGGAAAGAGATTCATGGGTTCAAGCTGTTGAGCAGCAAATCTTGTCATGTTTACAGTCAAATGACAGTGGTAGGGAAAAGGTAAATGTTCTTTAATTTCTTCTTGAACTAAATGTCGTTTAATCTATGTAGTTCAAGGATCCTGTTACTGAAAGTATCTTTACAATAAATAATTATTTGGCTATATAAAGGAGACTATTAATATTTATCAATCATAATATCTCTTTTCAGTCTCGTCTTAACAGCACCAACTCATGTGAAGGATATGATATTCAATCGATTCGAAGGGTTCCAGGAAATGACATTTGTGTTGATTGTGGTGCACAAAGTGAGTATTTTAAATGTACAAATTGCAATGCATTTCTTTGATGTTTTAGAAGGCTACATTCAATCAACTCTCACTAGACCTTTTTGCATCTTTTCAACTCTGACTTAATACATATACTATTTTTTAGTTTAAAGTGATGTATTTTTCTTTTTAGACCCAGATTGGGCATCTCTGAATATTGGTGGWCTTGTCTGCATTGAATGTTCTGGTGTACATAGAAATTTAGGTACACATTTATCAAGAATACGCTCCTTAGAACTGGATGACTGGCCGTAAGTAGTACTGAATTAATGAAATCATCTTATTTGACACCGTCTTTGCTATGTGGTCGTGTACACAGGAACCCCAAGCTAATAATATCCAACAAACTAACCATAGAAGCACAATGATTTTGGAATTAAACTTGAATACATTTGTATTAAACTTTCKCTTAAAGGTTCATTAAAGTCATATTGTGTCCTGATTTATTGGTGTGTTTCAGATCTGAGTTTACTGCTGTGATGTGTAGTATTGGCAATGACCTTGTGAATGGTATATGGGAAGGGTCATGTRATGAGAAAGACAAGCCAACTTTTACATCCACTCGGTGGGTTTTATCCTACATTTATGCATCATTTCATTYATGTTTCCTTTCTTTTATTCATTCATCCTTGCATCAGTCGGCTTTCTACGTTCATTATTCAGTTTTCTCATTCTTTTCTAATATTCACTATTCCATTTTCTGTTTCTCATTCATTCTATTTTTCATTCATTTTTTCTGTTTACTCATCCACCGTTTTATTGCCATTATGGCTAAGTGATATGTTTCTTTTSATTACAGAGAGGATAAAGAGCGTTGGATTAGAAATAAATATGAAGCAAAGCAGTTTCTCTGTCCGCTTCCTCCTTCAGACTTTTCAATTGGCGAGGTAAGACGATACTTTATTGCACGTTTTGTATTTGTRTATCTTCAATCAAGAGCAAACGTTGATATATCAAATGCAACCAAGCGCTAAAGAGTAACATTAAAATAATGGTATCTAATTATTCTTTTTTGACATGTTTTCTCCAGCAATTATACGAAGCTGTTTCTAGAGAAGACTTACAACTTTGTATTTTACTGCTGGCTCACTCGACACCAACAGACGTCAATGCTGTGAACGACGAGMGAGAAAAATTAACGTCACTACACTGCAGTTGCTTGTTAGGAAATATTGTCATTACGCAGCTTCTAATATGGGTGAGTTTTCGATGATAATGGTGGATGTAGTAACGAAAAAAGATTGAGTAGTGATGACAGTGATAATGCAATGTAGTAATGATTTTGACAGTACAAATCATGATTGCCTGACGAGAGGGTAGGGATACTTTGATAGGTGTCTACGATCTTTTAAGTAAGACCTCGAGCCTAAGACCTCACCGACACTGCTTCGTTCCCATAGCCTACATGGCCTATGGGAAGTTTAGAGTTGCTATATTGTTTTACATTCCTTTTAGGACGAAAAAACTCAGCAGCAACCGTGCTGTCATGAAGGACGATTAGCAACCAACACCTTTTCTCTTTTTTAACTCACCASTGCGTGTCTTATAGGCTGATACCTTACACAAATCAATGACATASTCTTACAAATACCTCCCCGTAAACAACTATGTCAACTGGCTCTAAAACCTGTGATCTTTTCCAGTATTTTGCAGATGTTAAATCATTAGATGGTAAYGGTCGATCAGCGTTATGGTATGCCAAGTCTTCTGGTAGTAAAGAGTGTGCAGATATATTACGCAATAATGGATGTCATGATTTAGGGACGTTAGCGCCTCATGCAGAAGATGTTGTACTATAACCGCATACYATCCTTTGGGTTCCCTGTGTTTACAACATACGTAGAGGCCGGGCKTTTGACGTATTGACAGAAAACTCACAAAGAATTCGACTATGGAAAAATTCGTCTTTGGATTTAATAGTTTGTATTTCTATGGACATTTTTACTAATGTTTTCAGTTTTCTAACCTCGTTATGCTCCATGTTGAATAAAAGTTATTTTGGCGGGATCCGCGAAGCGGTAAAAACTTACATCTGTAATCGTCGCGGAAAGGTAGAACAAGCCTTTCTGGAACAGAAAAGAAACGTATTTATTGATTGTTTATTTACGATTTGAAATGTAAATATAAAAGATATTATAAAAATTAAAATTCTACATCAAATAATGATTTAGAATCGGTGAATCAAGCAATTATTTAATTTATCTTGTGTCATAGAGATCCTATCCTCTATATTTTACTTCATTTCCCAAGCAAAAAATAACTTGACATATAATAAAATTGTATTTGCATAGTTTGTAGTTATCTGTTATGGGAATATTGAAAGCTTGAGAAACTTTTTATTCGAAGTTTCCATTGAGTTCCACATCTAATGTAGAAATAATGTTGAATCAGTACTAGAGTACACACAAACCACATTACGTCTACTAATATCCAAGTTTCACAAACGTATTTGAAGTCTTGATAATCGATGATATTTTTCTTTGGTAAAATACTGGTAGTATATGTAGCCTATTCAGAGCTTATTATCGGTCCAAAATGAGGCACCAAAATGGACAATGTGAAAATCAGCGCAACTAGGAAGACTCGAACCCCTACCATTAATACTACGGGGGAAGGGATTTCTCMTGGTGGAACGAACGCTCGATGTCCATTACAACTGCTCATACAGACAAATATGATAGTACTGAACCTGGTCCACAATGTACCATAATTTTGAATTTCAGAGCTCGACATGTTTTCGCGTGAGTGCATTGCGCAAAGTTCTCTCGGAAATTCCTATAGCATGCAGGTGAAATACATAAGCTACAGCTCAGAAAARGGCACATTTGCAAGTTGACTTTTGAAACACTATGGTTTATACTGGAAAATAATTTAAACAGTATGCCTGTATCGACAAGAATAACAATAATGATTACTGAAAACTCTCGGTCGTTTTGATAACAACAAACTCTTTAGTGTTTAACTGATAAATGAACATCTTCAAAACACAAAATTGAAGTTCTTGAAGTTCAGGTAAACTACAGTGAAAGTGATGTCGTATTGTTGAGCCCGCGCGTGACATGCGATGCTTGACGCAAATAAACACGAAGAAAGTCAATGCGCTTTTCAGAATTGCTTAATAAAATGTTTCTAACGGTCTGTCAAACGGTGATTGAAGTGTTATCAAAGTCATTGTAGACTTGGTCTAGATGGGTCTGCGATAAAATGTTCAGTTATCTGCAGTGCATTCCATGTTCAACGGCCACAAGACAAGATCACTCAATTCAGTGATCCGAAAGAACAAGGTGACTACCATGAAGAAAAAAAACAAAAATATATTTACAGATCCCAGAGACGAATCTCGACGTTTTTCTACAAATGAAGTTCAACGAGAAACGGAATTCCCTCCATGAGATAAGTTGAGCATTATTTGATTTAGGCATTTCATGTTTTGTTCAAATAAAGATTCGAGTTTTCTTGGATGATTAAGTAATGGATGAAGAATCTGGCAACAACCAATTTACATGGCCACCTGTTAACAGTGATTGCTGCTTGGATGAACAACKTGCCATACTTGGTATATGATGTAATGGCTGCAGTGGCGCGAAAATCCACAGGAGAATCAAAAACGATCCTGCTATACCGAGTACATCTCTCGACTCAAATAATTTAACAGACATGGCTTCATGGTTGTATCAACGGTTGTAACTTGTGGAAATGGTTGGCTAAAGGCTGCTTGGACATCAATGATGACAGTAGTGYCACTAGGGATTTTTAGTTTGCAGTCTTGTCAAATGCTCTATGGTAGACGGTAAACAACACTGGACAAGGCTTCCATGCTTTTGCGTCTTTGTGGCTATTTTCTCCCATGGTAGGATCCTTAAACACTGCATGGCTGTATATTTGGTAGCAGTATTTTATGCTATGTATATTCATCTGTTCTCTATTATGGTTTAGGGTTGGTATATAGTGAAAACTGTGGTGGTCATCGACTTGGAAGTAATGGCTTCCATTTCTATAAATTCGAAAATGCTACAAGTTTAGAAGACTGTGTCAACTCGTGCTGCAACGAAACTACGTGTGAACTTGCTTTTTTGCTGGATTTGAGGTGCTTTGGTCTATCTTGTCAACGAAAACCAGAAATATGTCGTAAAATTGCAGATCAACTTATCAGTCATGATAAAAATAAACGAAGCAAACCAGGTTTGTAAAATTTCTTTAAAATGCAGTATAAAATGTCTAATTAAGTTAGGGCTATCGCATTATTTAGAGATAGGATGTCCAATAGAACAGTCTTTTAATTCTATTTCTGGGCATRTTCCAATCTCTTGCACTGTATAACTGTGCAGAAATTGGTTGCTAACCTGATATTTGATGTCAAATGGAAATACTCTGAATRCTCCCCCTAATATTTCCTACAGTATSCTTTTTCTAGTCTAGTTTTGGTATTTGGGCATCAAACTAGAACAGTGTTTTGTACTTATTCTTCACGTAAGGTGCATTTATTTATAAATACTTCCTTTGACCAATGACTCGTATCCAAAACATCAATATTTTCCATTTAAAATATAATCAAAAATTGTATGTAAGTTGTTTCTCCATTCATATAACACAGGAAATGCAATAAATTGGCTGACATAAATTATATGCTCCACAACAATCAAAGATTCGTGTTTTTTTTTTAACCTCAATTATGTATTGTAGTCTGGTCTTCTTAGTGTCAAAGATCATTGTACCTGGGCCTATCTACGTATCTATCTCTACTTTTTTTCTACAGTAATTTTCCTGATAAAAAATGAATTTGAAGTGAAATAGTTAGCTGTACTGCATATCCTTCGATAAGAACTAGCACTCAAATAACTATATTTAATAATTGTCAAATAAAGTGGATTGAATATGGCTCGTGTGTTTACCATTTACTGGTACCTGTGTAAGAACAAAGATTTTGATATCTAAGTCAATTTATCTACTATTTGATGTTCCAGTAGTAAAAGCAAAAACTATTTTATTTGTTTGTTTCTGTAGGGATTATTGAACAGAAAGTCGCTGCCAGTAGCCCCAAATGTCCTTTRCCATTCGCTCGAAGCTTCACTTTCCTAGTCTCAGACGTTAATCACAATAAAAAGTTTACAGTTCTAAACGATGGAACAGTTACTGAGAGCCAATGCAAAGGTCTCTGCTGCCAATCACGTGACTGCGACTTCGCTTTTGTCGAGGAAGGGACGTGCTTTGGAGTTAGTTTTCTTAAGAACTTTGTTACCAAGGGAGGCACCTTGGCAACCAGGAAGTTTTTACAAATGGCGGTCATCGACCGTAAGCGAGGTAGGTTGTTGATAGATATACAAGGAACATGACTTGATTGGATAAACTCTAAATACACTCACAAGACTCAAAACGATTTGTAACGCCGGTACGGGACTGTAGAAGGCTGCCTTTTTGTAACTTCTTGTAAGGACTACTATTCTACTACCAGCTACAATCGAGACAATAACAATCAAGTCATTGCTTCTGTCGACTATCAGTGGACATTTATCCTAGCTAGACTAGTCTAAAACGTGTTTTCTTTTGCATTCAGACGTTCTACGAAGTGTAGAAGAAAGTAATGACGATGACACGGACATAAACCTTGATGATGAGGTGGGCTCGGAAGASCAAGATGAAGCTTCCCAAGAAAAGCAGACTCATAAATCTCAGGACAAAATTGTTGAATATGCTACGCACAACACCACAACGCTACACAAGGATCTTTTGGTTGATTCTCCCAAACCGAAGAGCAATTATTCAACGAAATCTACTAAAAATACTGTCGAAAAGACAAGCGTTGAGACTTCTTCACAAAAAAGCCAAACACAATCTGTAAATGTCCTGACACACGAGGACAAGAAAATACAGAATGACATTGGTACTACCAGTACACTTAAAGAGAACTTAAATCATGTCAATATAACATTAATGGATAGTCATTCTCATAATGGAACAAAACTGAACCTATTAGGGACCAGTACTACTTCACCATTAAAAGGTGTTGAGATAACAACTTCGATTGTCCCTACACGTCAGACTACTCGACGAAAACAAGCATTTCAACGTTTATTTCGCAGTTCAACCGTAAGTCCTTTAAAATCTTTTAAAAGCTACGCAAAGGATTCTGGGACATATAGATCTGGTAAAGATAACATAAAGAAAGTCATTATACATCTTAATCCAGACAACACAACACATGATCACCTGCAACTGAAGCAGCCTCATGTTGATCGTCAGTTACAACAGCTACATTTTGATACAACACATAAGAACTTTAGTAAACACACGCAGTCTACAGACCAGAATGCTGAAGGTCATGCGCAGTCAACATACCAGATTCTTGAAGGTCATGCGCAGTCAACACACCAGAATGCTGAAGGTCATGCGCAGTCAACACACCAGATTATTGAAGGTCATGCGCAGTCAACACACCAGAATGATCATGCGCAGTCAACACACCAGAATGTTGAAAGTCATGCGCAGTCAACACACCAGAATGTTGAA